TATATATATATATATATATATTTTTTTTTTAATATTATTAGTAATAACGTGTGCATATACATTTTTCAGGGGCGTACTAGCCATCTGTATAATTTCCCCGCAGCGAGGCTCCCCCCGTTGACAATCCACTAAAGTGTTTCTCACACTTGTTCATACCAAGGACCACTTAACCAACACTCACGGACCACCTGACTCCACAAACATCCAGAAACAATAGGCCTGCTTCCCATTCCAACAGTACATAACAGCTTAACCTCCTCTACTGTATATCGCCTCGTTCACACAATAAATCAACAATACAAATACAACTACAGATTATATAAGCATTTAGTTCAAATAAGATTTAAAATGCTCTCAGGTTTTACACCTCTTATGAAATGTAGATTCATTACGGAGTTTATGTCCGAGCCAACAGACTCACAGATCGTTGGCTACTGAGAGATATGTAAAATACACCGCATGTAGTAGGGTTCAAGGTTAAAGGTTCTTCATTTGTCAAACGAACATAGCAACAGTGTAGTTATGTCGATGAACATCTTGTGTCACAGGCTTCTCCAACGGTGCAACTCAAAACACAGATAAACAGACAAATATAGTGCAAGTAAATAGTAGATACAAGAAGAAAATAGTTTAAAAAAGTGAAATAGTGCAATAAGAGTCTATATGCAAGTAATTGAAATATGATATATTAGGTAAATAGATAAATAATGTTTAAGTAGCAGCCAGATGAATATTGTGGATGTTGTTTCAACAGTTCAGGTGTTTAACAGTCTTATAGCCTGTGGGATGAAGCTGTCCCTGAGTCTGGTGGTTTTAGTACGACACAAACCTCCGCTGTGGATTTTCAAAACAAAATACAGTAAAACTGTGGTCGCAGGCCCAAGTCTAACTCTCTGAGGCCTGCCTACAAAACAAAAATAAAAAAAACGTTTATGCAGCCCTGATCATCAACAGACTTCATGCAATGCTTCATCGGATGCAATCTCTATCTCACTCCTAGTCCTAACACATCTAAATCTACTTCCAGCATGGATAAATGTTCATAAAATACATTCATTGTTTATTCTATATGCTTCTTGAAATCCTAAAAAACACATAGTTTTTCTAGAACAGATTACAAATCGCCTGAAAATGGTACAAACAAGTGGCAACATGTTTGACGAAGGTGTTGCGCTGGGCTATATCATGCAATCGAAAGTGAAACGTAAGCTTGCTCCATTGCGGAGATATTCCCGCGAAAGTGCCACCCCCCGCTAGTTAAGGGGGTTGTCCAACCACGCCTGTCGTGAGCTTTTGCTTAAATATATTATTATCAAGATATACAAATCACCTTTATTAGGAGAGTCGATTTATCGCCAAAATGCCAAGCCCTACCTTAACTATGCTGACATAACTGTGAAAAATGTCACTAAAGGTGTTTTTATATTCCTCTACTCAGGAAGAAATGTCTGTGCACTTTCCTTAATGTATAAGATTGGGATGTACCCAAGTAGATTATTATGTATCACAAATTCAAGAGACAGTCTAGTATAGTTAGCATTAGCATCGGGAACATTTTAACAGCAAATATAGTATTATATTTGTATTGTAGTAAAGTGTGAAGTTTCTGAATGTAAACTAGGTCCTAGGAGCTTTCTTCTACTATATCCAAAAAAACACTAGAAATTATTGTATGTTTTTAACCAAAAATGAGCTGCTAGTTACGAGCTAACAAGCTAACAGAAAATATGCTAACTACACTTACCCTTCTGTTTTCACCTGTGGTCCATTTTGGTGCGCAAAAATACTCCTTATCTGACTCCAACATGTGTGAATGAATCTTTATAATGCTTCCTCTAATGGAGAAAATAAACTGAAATACCTAACTATTACTTCTGAGTGCAATGATACACACCTGATGAGCACGTGGCACTGCTCAACCTAGCGCGAGCTGGTGGGCGGGGCTTAATCCAGCTTCCTAATGAGACGCTTTTTTTACATTTTGATAAATAAATCCATGTAAAACTAAATATTTGTTCCTAGCAGAGAATTGTACACACTTTAAAAACATGCCTTGAGATGGACTTCACTAAGAGAAGGTTTACAGAAGTTCATTTGTTGTTGAAGATTTGAACTACATTACCCAGAAATCCTTGCTCAAATGTACGCAATTGTTGCAAGGAAAAAATGACATAACCGAGGAAATGATCTAAAGTCTAGTATTTTTTAAGAAAGTTTTCAATCATACATATCTATAAAAAAAGAATCTTCTTCTATCATTTGAAGACATTTATTTTTTGTTTACTGCTCTTAAATTTCCCCTTAAGTAACTCAAACGTGACAAATATAACACATTTTCATGGTAGAGCCCTGACATTACATGCAAGGTTCCAGATATAATGCCCATATTATCTTGTGATCACAACTTTAAAATAAGTTCTGTGTGTGTGTGTGTGTGTGTGTGTGTGTGTGTGTGTGTGTGTGTGTGTGTGTGTGTGTGTGTGTGTGTGTGTGTGTGTGTGTGTGTGTGTGTGTGTGTGTGTGTGTGTGTGTGTGTACACACTGCAGGCATTGCCCTACATTACACAGGGAAACGTTTGTGCAGCAAACAGACAGTGTCATGAGTTCATGAAACTCAGTGTGTGTTCGACTATATCTCCTGTACTCTGAAGCAGAAGAATCCAAATCTGAATCTAACTGAAACACGGCAACAAATCAAAAGACTAACATAATGAAAGAAAGGGAAATAAAGAGATATAAAAGTGAGGACAAATGAGAGAGAGAGAGAGAGAGAGAGAGAGAGAGAGAGAGAGAGAGAGAGAGAGAGAGAGAGAGAGAGAGGCAGGAAGATGGGAGGCCCATAGGAGGACATTCTGTGTAAACAATGGTGTTGAATATAAACACAGCCATGCTTTACTGCACACACACACACACACACGCACACACACACACACACACACACACACACACACGCACACACACACACACACACACACACACACACACACACACACACACATACACACACCAGAGTTCCCGTTAGCCGGTAATTACCGGACTATGACCGGTAAAATATGCTGAAGACCGGCAAATCTAAATCTCTCCGGTTAAAGTGTCCAGTCAAAAATAATTTCCCCTTAGCGCAATACTGCATCAGTTGCGCAACTTGCGCCACTTATGTGACAAACAAGAAGAGTCAATTCTAATGTCTAACTTAATGTGGAGAAAGAGATGTCCTGTCTGGGTTGATTGTGCGTTGATCTGTTGGTAATGCCTCGGGGTTCCGGTGGGCATGTAAACAAATGCATAATGCTGCGCTATACTTTGTGGCCAGCTCACCCGGTTGCATAGCGACGCTTATTATTTAGGTGTCTTTTAATAAGCAGGTAGTCCTATCATTAGCTAGAACTAGCTGGATCTGATCGATATGGACATAAACACGACGAGTAAAGTCTAATCTGACGGGAGAGATAGATCAGCTGCTGCTGACGAGTCGACACGCAGCTCTGCATGATCACATGCAGCGGTGAGCGAAACAACACACACTTCAGGTTAGAATATCACACGTAGCTATTTTAATGACCTCTCAAACTACCTAAACTAGTTATAGATATGTTTAGTTTTACTGTCGGGTCACTCATTACTGATCTGCGAGCTGCATGATACTGACGGGCTGTCAGGAGAGGGAGAGCGCTCTGTTTATTATTCCCGTGTTATTGTAAATTCCTGTACACTTTTGAATAGTTAATCTACTATAATTAGTTTGTTTAATATCGAATCATATCAATTTGTTTTAAAGCTCAATAAATAACAAAGAAGACCTTTGACCGGAACTTTTCAAATTTTGTCCGGAAGATTTAAACTTTAACGGACATGTTGACCGGAGAAAAAATATTCTAACGGGAACTCTGACACACACACACACACACACACACACACATACCATGCATACATCACTTCAGGGGACATTACATTGACTTACATGCATTTCCTGGAGACTTATCCTAACCTTAACCATAACCAACACATGCCTAACCCTAACCCTTACCCTTACCCTAATCCTAAACCTAACCAAGTCTTCATAGGGACCTCCAATTTGTCCCCATAAGGGAGGCGAGTCCCCACATGTGACTATGTAAACAGATTTAGGTCCCCACATGTATAGTAATACTAGGCCACACATACACACACACACACACACACACACACACACACACACCCTCAAGCAGTGGTGGATAAACTATTCAGATCTTTTAAGTTAAAGTAGTAATGTCCAATTTTAAAAGTCCCCTTTGACTATTATACTATTATACTTGATATAAATATGTCCATGCATTAATGCAGGATTTTATTCTTGCATTTGGTTGAAATGGAGCTCATTTTAAACAAATAGCTAATTAATATTTACTTTAATTAATACTTTTTCTCCAATAATCCATTGATTGTGAAATAAGACACATTACAATTGATAAGGAAAGCAGGAAACCAATCATGTCAACTCATGAATCATTGAAAGTAAGTATTGGACACATTGTTTCCGCTCTACATTTTGTGCAGTGTTTACCATTTACATGCACTAAAACCTAAAAAGGAAATGGAAAACCCCAGAAAGCCTAATAGGGTCTCTTTAATGTGCTATTTAAATAACTCTTCTGGTTTTCTTCCCACGTCATTACATCTTTCCAATTCTTCTTCTTCCTCTATCTCTGTCTCTATCTCTCTCCCTCCGCCCCGCCCGAACAGACTGGAAGACATGACTGTCCAATAATAACCTCAGCTGTTACAGACAGGGTGGGTGTGTGTGTGGGTGTGTGTTTGGATCAATATTGTGCCATGCAAGCCTCACACACACACTCTTTTTACATGAACTTCACCCCTTATTACCCAAACATCTCTTTTCTTTCTGCCATGGTGTGCTAATCTCTCTGTCTGTCTGTCTGTCTGTCTGTCTGTCTGTCTGTCTGTCTGTCTGTCTGTCTGTCTCTCACACACACACACACACACACACACACACACCGTACCTTCATATTTGACGCTGCAGTAGGCATCACTGATGTCATCGTCCGGCGTATGCAGACGCTCTGCACACAGGATAAACACACGCAGCATGGCTCACACACACACACACACACACACACACACACACACACACACACACACACACACTCAAACACACACACACACACTCAGCAGAGCTCTGTCAAATCAAGAAACAGTGATGTCCATATATGGGCGTCGGTCAGTATATCCAAAAAGTATCCTTAAAACAAGAGAGAGGGAGAAGAAGTGGACGAGAGACAAAGAGGGCGAATCGAGAGTGAGAAACCAGAGCTGCAACACTCAGCTGTCTCACTCGCCCCCCCCCTCTCTCTCTCTCACACACACACAGTCAGCATGGTGCACTGGCTGACTCATGCACACACACACACACACACACACACACACACACACACACACACACACACACACACACACACACACACACACACACACATACAGTGGCCTTTAATTTCAGGTCACACATGCCTGCACATCATCAGCAAACCGAACTTTGCCAAGTCACACACACACACACACACACACACACACGCACAAGCACACACACACACATACACACACAGACAAAGGGTAAGAGTGGGTCGGGGAAATTGTGGTCGATGCAGATCTGTTGCAGCGATAGAAAAAGACGACAATGCTACAAGACAAGAGTTTCTAGTGTTATTTAATGGGGGAAATATGAATATATAAATACAATATTTGAACATAAAGCAGTGGTTAAGAGCTGATTCAGGTAAAATAGACAATGGACCCCAATTGCTAACATTATAGGGCCAGTTAGCTCTAAAAGCTTTCTCTATTTACCCTTAAATACTATAGACGTTCTTTAAAACATACATTATATGTTGCATCTTGTTAGCATTAAAATGTCTATTGGGAAAACATGGCCAAAATGTGATGTAGCATCCGTGGAAAAACAACACAGGTTTAAATCAGGATGTTGAGATTATAAAGAAAATAATATGTCTTGATATAAAACATCCAAACAATCTACAAGTCTGTGTTTTACTGTACGTTGTGTGAGGATTACTGAAAGTGTGTGTGAAGCTGCAACACAACGAAAAGTGGATTTTAAGATGCTTCATGTGACCCAGCGAGGAATTGTAATGCTCATGTGACTTATGGATTTGACACTTGATTTTAACACTGACCAATAAAAGGGTGAGCAGATATGAAATGATCTGAGGCGCAGACGAGTGTTCAGAAACAGAAGCAAAGTGTGAGAGGACGGGGGGGATTTCTGTTGCTCCTCTATTTATAGTGCGACCCACTGGGCTTCAGTCATGTCATGAGCATATTTAGGGAGTGTGTGTGTGTGTTTACGGGAAGTATGCTACCCTCAGGACTCGAGATAAAAATAAGACGGTGGACCTGTGTGTTGGATTTGAGCTCCTTCTTGTTTTTATAAACAATCACGCTGTCGTTGTGTGTTACTTTGTCATATCAATCAAACCAATTAGAGAGTATTGATCCTATAAATGCTCCTCTCGGGGTAATTAGATATCCTCTCAAATTACTCACAGCTGATGGAAGATGCCGGAAGATAAGCAACCTGAAAAACACAGCAGTTCTGAGAGTTGTTTCAGTATGACTCGGCTTATTTAATATTAAAGGGGACCTATCATGCAAAATGCACTTTGTGATGTCTGTTATACATCAATATGTGTACCCGGTGTGTCGGGGAACTCACGCAGCGTCATAAAATAAAGCCCTCTCTCTTTTCCTCCGTACCCAAATCTCTAAAAACGGGGAGCAACGGAGCTGATCCAGATTTGAGTCCGATATGACGTAATATCTGAAATGTGGACCCACGGCCCAATCAGAAACGTTGCTATCAGAAACAATGCCCGACTGTTTTGGACGTAATATGGTCGGTGTTTACATTAGCATCGCTAACACTCAGAGCTAACCTGTACTGGAGAGCATGTGTGTGAAGAAGCAGGAAGTAAAAAGGAACTCACCTTGTGGTATAACCGGCAAGAGAGAAAGCCTTTGAGCTCCATACTGTTTCAGAACCTTGATAATCCATGATATGGCGTTTGATCACGACAGTATTTAATTTATACCAGGGGTGCCCAATACGTCGATCGCGAGGGTATATCGCATGGCATTGAAAAAAAAGAAGAAAAAAAATATGTATATATTTCATTTTTTTTTTTTTATATTTAAAGTTAGCTTATCATCCATCCTTACTATGGCATCTGCCACTTGATTGACATACAGGTAAGCCAGTCTGAGTTGTATTGTGCCATACGGGTTAATGCAGTTATGAGGGGGCCTCACCTCCTCATCTGAAGCACAACTGCGGCGCACTATTATACGCTTTTCCGGCGCAATTAGTGTAAGCGCGCCACAGTTTATCCGCCGTTTCGTCCACTAGCACCCCAAAGTAGCTCCCAAGCTGAAAAGGTGTGGGCACCCCTGGTTTAGACGGAATAGCTGCCGGGTCCCGCATGAGCTCAGCCCCCTCCTTTTTTTTTTATCATTTTTTTTTTTTTTTAAGCTTTATACCCCAAATCAGCACTTTAGAAACAGGAAGTGAAATAGAGGGATATGAGGCATGGCTAGAATGGGGGATCTATTTGGTATTTTGAGCAAAACACTTCATAGACATGTTATTTATATATTTGTATATATCTGAGACCTATGCTATTGCCTACAAATAGCATGATAGGTGAACTTTAAAAGATAACTAGACCAACAGAAATAACTCCATCAATTTACAAGTTTATACAATTACATACCCATACATTATATATGTGTTTACTGTCAAATAAGCACCTCTTGTGTAAATGTAAAACATGACTATTTAGAGCCAATGGATGAAAGAACCACACCTTGTTTTTGGATCAGATCGTTTATTCAGTTTTAGACAATTAAACATCCAGTTAAAACTCCACAAAGGTAAAATTGAGAAAATAGTGATACACATATTATAACCATCACCACATTTCAACCATAATGTAAAATATTTATGAAAAGCAAAACATTATAGATTTGTCTTTTTATATATTTTTCCTCATAAACATATAATAGGACACAACAACAATTCAAATGAAGATTACAGGTTTCACACTTTAAGAGGATAAATATGCATTATATCAATAACTACTACAACAAGTCCACATCATAAAGTAATTCAGATGTTCACAGAGGCAAATGTATGTTTTAGTGTCGCCCCTTTTTCTCAATTTCAGTTAGTAATCTGTTAGTAATTTAGTTTCTCCCCTCTTCAGGCTGTGATTTCTATATTTGAACTAGAGCCATTCAATAAACCCAGAGAGCAGATACATATTAGAGAAGAGTGAGCTTGTTGCAGTAAATATACAAATGGGTTTATATAGCGCAGATGAAATTAAACTTTTCATTGTCAGCCTTTTTGTACCACTCTCCATCTCTCTCCATGACTGCAGCCATGCCACACTCAGCCAGTTCGTCTGTGGCCCAGTTGTGATAGCAGACCAGACGATCAATGACCCAGAACCACAGGTCCAGAGTGCAGGTGTAGCGCATTCCCAGCCAGACGAACTCAGTGTCGGCCATCTTGGCTCTCTCTTGGACCCATCTCTGCTGGTGACGGTCAGTGATGGAGACCAGGTCATGGTGCTTCTCTCTGCAGTAAGTCAGGGCCTCATCCCAAGTCTTCTTCTCTTTGATCAGGATCACTTTGTCTGTCATTGAAATGGATATTTGTTTTAGTTAGGGTAACCATTTACTGCTGAAAAACTCAACTGTAATAATATATAACCTTTCTTACAATAATCCTTATGTTTTTTAAATAAATAAAAGTCCCCACAAAAAAGAAGTAAATGAGATACAAATGGAATAAAAACCAATGGTATGGAAATATATGTCCTGAAATGACGTGGCACCTTATGTAAAAGCCAGGTTGAAAAGATGCGTCTTAAGGACAAAAACATGACTAAATGATATTCAAACTTTAAGTAGTAAAAATATTAAATTCACAGTCTATCGTAAGATTAAGGACGGAATCCAGATCGGTAATTCTGTGTATATTCAATTTCACAACTAAAGGACATTCAACATGAAAGTACAAATATATAACTGAAGACATGAAATAAGAATACTTTACGTATAGACTTTTGAAAAACTCACCGTCATAGCAGTAGAAGGGTTGTTTTTTTTCGCAATCGTCGGAGTTCCATTTTCCATTTGGCGTAGTCATAGCACAAGTCTTTGAGGCTACATCTTTAAATGAGTCCGGATCCCAGTGTCTGAAAGAAACATTCTTCCCATCTGACCAACTCCAGATCTCTCTGAACAGGCCGATCCACGAGCTAGAAGAGTCATACTTTTCGTTGAATTCATTGATCCGTGTGATTCCACTGATCAGGTCAGTGTGATGTTCTCTGCAGTAGCTCTGAGCCTGAAGCCACTTCATTGGTTCATCAATTACAAAGTATTTCTCTGTCCCTGTTTCTGTGAGAATGAAAAGACACATTTTACAAGTTTTTAAATAATTTTCTCTTACTTAAATCATGTTAAACAATGATGTTAAATATAATGAATACCATCACCATGTAGATTGAATAATACAAAAATAAGCCTATACTTTACCATTACAATATATTCAAACAAGTAGAATTGTATCATCAAATTAATTAATTTATTAAATGTAACTCTACAACATGAGTTATCTTTCAACTATTGTTACACATTATGATTTGATTTATAGCGTTAATAGTGACATATACTCACCATTGTAGCAGATAAACTTAAAGCTACGAGAACAACGGACATCGTTCCATTTGTTTTCCCCCCTAATCACCACACAGTTCTCAGGATCATCACCTCCATTGTTCGGCTCATCTGGATGCCATTCTGTTTCACATCCTGGATTACATTCAGTAGGATAGTACTTCTCCCCCGGCAGAGACCAGTGCCACTCTTTGATACTTTTTTCATTGATGCTCCTCAGTCCAATCCAGGCGCCTGTAGTCCGTGAAGAGTTAGTCAGTCTCTCCACGTCTCTCATGTCAGACACTGTGGCCAGGTCAGTGAAGTTCTCTCTGCAATAACTCCGGGCTTCCTCCCAGGTCTTTCCCTCAGGAATGAAGTGGTACTCATAGAGGTGACATGTGGAGAAGGAACACTGACCTAAAAACAGAGACAATGCTGCAGTGATGGAGCTGACAGTATGACAAGCACCTGATCATTAAATCAAACTCATGAGTACTAGAATCACCCCCACCTCTTACATCAGGGGTAGGCAAGTAAG